CACACACACACACACACACACACACACACACACACACACACACACACACACACACACACACACACACACACACACACAAACAAACAAACTAAGATCGGAAAATAGGAGGGAGGCGGAAAGGGCGGAGAAAAAAGGGCGGAGAAGAGAGTCGACGTAGCAGGTCGGGGAGGAGGGTGGGTGCAACCGGTTAGCGAGACGGAGGAGAGGAGCAACAGAGGTGGGGGGCGGGGAAAGCGGGGTAGCGGAGGAGCAGAGGGTGGTCCGCCATCCATGGCCCACCACTTGGTGGTACACCCACAATTTTGCAGCCTTGTTTCTGGGCATGAGAATAATTTTGTGGTCTGGAACGGAGGGCCTGCAGGACTGGGTACGCCTGCAATTTTGTTCAGGGGAAAAGTGGGGTACTGTTCAAAGTTGAACTGGGTCTGGGTATAGATGCAAGTTCGCCTTTGGGACTGGGTATAGCGAGATGCAATTTTCCCTTCTTTTTTTCCAATTAATTCCACTTGGGGGATTTGGGCAGGGATCGGTGCACTGTGAAACGGTATTCACCAGTTCGCAGTAGCTGACGCAGATCCCAGGGTTCAATCCCTAGCCCTTACCTTACCTGTGTACAGTATCTGTGTAGCCCCCGAGAGTTGAACCCGCGACCTGTGTGTTTCGTAACAGTTGGTAGGTCGTCGTAGGTTCCGTAGGTTCGGGGTTCGATCTGTAGACCTGTCCAGTAGGAGTCCAGCCAGGTTTAGAAGTCGTAGCTGTAGGCTTCTCGAAGAGTCAAGGTCGTAGCTGCGACAGGACCGAAAGGCCAAGTCCATGGCCTTCTAGAAGGGCCTGGTGGTGGCCTTTCGAGGTTGCCCACGTTTAGCCAGAGGCAAGTGGGCAAGTGGTGGAAGTCCACCGTGCAGAGTCAGCAGTCCCAATCCAGTCAGTCCAGTCCAGTCAAGCAAGTACCGCCTGGGACTGTGTGCACCGTGGGCCAGGGAACAAGGGGCAGACCGACGAGCCACATAAGTATAAATCAAGAGGCCGCGCACAGCCATTCATTCATTCCTKCGGAAGCCATGCGGAAGCGCTGTCTCAGCGGCTTGTGCAAGGAGGTCTGCAGCGGCCCGAAGTCGAAGTGGGCGAGAGAGACGAAGTGCAGCCATAGCGATAGGGTAGAGGCAGCCATAGCTGCCATAGCTGTAGTTAGAGTGAAGTGTGTGTGTGTTGTGTGAGTGTTCAGAGTGTCGCGTATGGGATATCCAGGGTGATCCGGTGTGTGTGAACAGTGAGCTGTTGGGCGCTGAGTCGCCATCGCCAGTGGAAGTGAACTCTTATCTGGATGCCATATCTCTGAGTTCTTTGTGGGCGGATGTCGCCAGTTTGCCGCGATGCTGTTTACATGCATGAAAAGTGTGGATGAGACGAGTCTGATTGCACACTGTGAAAGTAAATAACCAAACAAGTTGGACTTCCTTGGTGGTGCTGTTGTTGGTTCGGATTGCTTCGCAGGCCTGTGACGTCCTCGGAAAGCCTCACCGCTCCCTCGCGTACTTGCTGCGCGAATACTGTTCGGTTATCTCCGATAAACAATTCCAGGTACAGCGTGAGCCCTTTTCTGGAATATCTATTACAGGGAAACATTTCTGGTTTTTTTTTTTTTTCAAGGGTAAAGGCCCTGTAGAGTAAGCTTATTATTGTACCCATTTTATTCTAATGAGGATTCAAACTCATGACTTGTTCAGTGTTTACTGACGGTTATATATGTATACAGTGCTATACTCTGTATACTGTTCAGCCACATGGGTCAGGTACAGGGAAAGGTTTCTGACATCGAAAGGGGCTATTTCCCCTGGTTCTCCTCCTCTCATGCACCCTACCACCCGCAAACCTCCACTTTGGCCTCCCGTTCCTCTTTTTACTTGACTGCAACTCACCCCTCCTTTGCCTTCCCCCATTCCAACCCCCGCCTAGCCCCTCCCCACAGGGAAAACCTTTCTATTGTCCAAATGGCTATTCATCCTGGCTTTCCTCCCCTCCTTCACTCTGTTACCTACATCCCTCCGCCTTTGGCTTCCACTTCCTCACCTTTTTTTTTGACTTTTTTTTCCCCTTTTCTTTATTTTAATTTGGACCATTTCTCAATTTATCCATGTCGTCCTTGCACAGGGATCATCCTAATTAATCTTCTTCTCTATATCGCTCCAATTCTAATGGATGCCCTGGAAGACACCACTTCCTCTATCTACTTTATCTTAACCCTTTTTTATTAAATTTTTAAAGCTTTTTTTCCCTTTCCCCATTCCAAACCCCTACCCCTACCCCTCCTCGCCCCCCTCCCCGTCCTCCTCGGAACAGAACACACGCAAATTGGGCTAGCATATTACCAGCCACTCGCTTTGTTATTCTTTTTTTTTTTTTTTTTTTCGAACACGCCCCCGTCAGTGTTAGTGGTGCTGATAAGAGCAGAGGCTGCTATTCTGGAACATGTCACATGTGTATTCCTACTGTCCTTCAATTGGACCAGGTTGCTGTCTTGTCTCCCATGCCGTTCGTCTACCTACTCAACCAAAGCTCTACCCACTGGTGCTGTGAGGTTGCACGGAGGTTTTTCCTTCCACTTCCTCTTCCCCGTGGTTATGGTTGTGCAGCAACTATCACATGCAGCCATTAATGGTCGACTCTCCAAGGTGTGGGAGTAAGGTCATGGCGGCTGAGGTGGAGAATGTGCCGAGGCTGCGGCCGCCTTTACTCGAGGGGTAATTCAACCGTAATTGGTGGAATCTTCCCACACGAAAACCTTTTCGGTTTTGGGCGCCCGAAACTGTTCACGTTTGGCAAGAAAGGCCTGCCGGAAAATGAATCTGAAGCAGATTCAGCGCCAGGTTCATAATCTGCATCTGAAGAGGCCAAGCGGTTGGCACCCAATCTTGGCTGCTGGATTTTTCTTACATCCGACAGCCTGTATTGCCCGTGGGCCCTTCTTGCCGAACGGGAAAAGTCTGGGTGTGCAAAACCGAAAAGGTTACCCTGTGCGCTCTATCTATCTACCAATTCTCCCTTTACTAGAAGAGTGGAACTGTAAACAGTACTAAACACCATACGGGAGAGCCCCTCAGTGTCTTATATATTCACATCTGATTCGGCAGGATTCGAGCTCATGGTCCATTTATCACAGTCGCATGCATGCATACCATTCAGCCACATCGGCTGGGAGGAGCGGTAAAAAAAGTTAAAAAAAACTAACAGTATTTGTGCTGTGTCCTTCAGGACATCCGTTCAAATTGCAGCGATACAGAGAAGAGTAGCATGGCCCCTGCCTGGGCAAGGATGACACGCATAAATAGAGAAATGGTCCAAAAAAAAAAGGAACAGTATTTTACTATTTGTGCTGTAAATTCCTACTGAAATGGTGCGTTAGAATTATGAAATACTAAAATAGTAAAATACTGTGCTGTTATCCAAATGGCCGGGCCGGCTCTGGAGGCCCGGGTACCCACGTGGAGGGCGTGCCTAGATGGCCAGCCGGGCGAGCAGCCGCCTAGGAAGTGATATTAATTGTGTTGATTGAAAGAGAATAGGACCGAAAGGGTGGAATTTAACGAGGTTCTTGATAGTCCTTTGGGACATCCATTAAAATTGGAACGATACGGAGAAGATTAGCATGGGCCCTGCACAAGGATGACACACATAAATCAAGAAATGGTCTAGGCAACCAGCCGGGCCCGGGTCCCGGGTGGCCATCCCGTGCAAGGACTAGGGAAGGTCCCAGCAAAAAAACAAAAAAAAACGAAAAAAATCCAAAAATTTTAAAATTCCGAAAAAAACTATGTTGTGCAGAAAAATAAACTGAACAACTTTTGCCTCAAGGTCACATCGAAATTCTTCACCAAATTGAGAATAAAAAATAAAATTAAATTCTCTCTCTCTGCCTACGGTTTACCGGGCAGTTCTGTTTGTGACGATATATATATATCGTATATATTCTTCTTTTTTTTTTTGGCTCGGCTGGGCAAGTGACCCCGGGCCACTCTGGTAGCCTAGGAAATAGTCCAATTTTTTTTATTTTTTAAGGGTTCTTGATACTTGTGATAGCTCTGGTGCACCTTCGGTGCCTGCCTTCTGGACATAAGAGCCATACCATCGTGTTTTTTTTTTTGTTTTTTTTTTGGGACCATTTCTGGATTTATAGTGTCATCCTTGCTCAGGGGCCATGCGAATCTTCTCTGTATCGTTCCAAGTCTAACGGATGTCCCGAAGGACAAGAGCTTTACCATCGTGTTTCTAGGCCTCATTCTCATGCACACGGGCGCCCAGACTCACACAGATGCTGGCAGGGTCACAGCGCCAGGCCAGGCGGGTCCCCCAGCCAGGTCCCCGACGTGCAGGCCATGGGGGCGATTTCGATCTTTTAAGCCCCCCTGCGCGTTGATATTTTTTTGGTGCGCAGGAGGTCCAGTTTTCATCGAAAGCCGCACTGGAAATCTCCGCCATAGATCTTTGAAAACGACAGAGATTTGAGTTCGGTCTCCCTAGCCCAGCGCCTTTTCGGGGGATTCAAATTTGATTTTGAATGCCTCGGTAAGCCGCGGGGCATGACGAGATCAGACGCTGTGTCCTGCCATTGTTGACGTCCTAGCAGCCCCCTTTATGCCACCATCACAGCCTACCTTGCGCCATTGCAGCTCCATGTGCCATCCATCATCAAGGAGCTCCCCAGGCCATCCTTTGCTACTGCAGCTCCCCTTCTCCCCGTGCTGGCCCACGGTGTTGACAGCGCTGTGAAGAGAAAGGTAAGTGGTCTTCTCCTCCTCCTCCTCCTCCTCCTCCTTTCCCTTCCTTCTCCTCCTCCTTCCTTCTTCCTTCTCGTCCTCTATGTCCTCCTCATTCTTCTTCTTCTTTTCTTCTTGTCCTACTCCTCTTCCTCCTCCCTCCTTCTCGTTCTTCTTCTTTTGTTCTTCGGAATCTTCTTTCGGTTTCTCTTCTCACGAAAAACAGTGAATGCTCAGACTCCTGGCTCCTCCATGTGCCTCCTCTGATGCATAGCATTGCATACTCATCAAGGGATGAGTAATGCACGAATCCGAAGGAGCACCATAGTGATGAGTCAAAGCAAACAATGCGAACAGCAAAGCAAATAATGTACATTCATACGTGATAGATACGATGCAATGTATCACAGCGGAAGACTCTAGACAGGACCTGACTCGCCAGACTCAGAGTCGACCCACACGAACATCATCACCCGTATCGAATCTGCAAGGAGAGCGACACACACAGACGAGAGCCCTCCTTGTGCACACACATGGAGAGAAGCCAGGGATGATGCAGGTGGGGGAGAGACGAAAGGAGGAGAGGGGGGAGAAGAACTCAATGTCGCAGAAGCACGTCACCCCTCTCAAATGTCGAAGAAAACTGTCTCCCGCAAATATAAAATCAGAACCTGGCCACAACCTGGTCCAAGTAGTCGCTGCCTCTCTCTCTCTCTCTCTCTCTCTCTCTCTCACAC